GAGTTTGACATACGTGTGCACACATGAAGCCGCCGCCAGTCATGGCAGCGAGCACACCCATCACCCCAGCTCCCCTTCGGCCCGTTCCCACACTGTGTGGGAGAGACGCCGGGGCCTCTCTGAGCCCTGGCCGGCCTGTCGCCCCCTCAGGGCTCCAAGGTGGGCAAGCTGACCCTCAAGACGACCGAGATGGAGACGATATACGACCTGGGCACCAAGATGATTGAGTCCCTGACCAAGGACAAGGTCCAGGCCGGGTGAGCAGCGGCAGGCCACCCCGCGCTCAGGGTGGGGGAGCTCGGCACCTCCCTTCCTCACTCCCGCCTCCTTCCCCGGCAGGGATGTGATCACCATCGACAAGGCCACGGGCAAGATCTCCAAGCTGGGCCGCTCCTTCACGCGGGCGCGCGACTACGACGCCATGGGCTCCCAGGTGCTCCGGGCCCGCACCCTCCCTCCCGGCACCAGCATGTTCCCCGGACCCTCCCGTCACCCAGCCCCCTGTCCCTAGTACTCCTGGCTCTTCCCTGGACCCTCTGGGACGGGGTCCCGCAACCTGGCGCTGTGCTCATGGTTCCCGGGGTCCCCAGGAACCCCTGTGCCCTCAGGGCTCTCAGCTACCTTCTGGGCCTGGGGTTTCCAGTAACCCCCATCTGGATTCCCAGCCCCTTTCCAGGGAGCCCCGATCTCCCCGAGACAGAGCCCCTGTGGGCCCCTTCATGCTCTTCTCTGCCTTGTCTCCACCCCCCACCCCACCCCCATGCTGCCCCGAAGACCAAGTTCGTGCAGTGCCCAGACGGGGAGCTCCAGAAGCGCAAGGAGGTGGTGCACACCGTGTCCCTGCACGAGATCGACGTCATCAACTCCCGCACCCAGGGCTTCCTGGCCCTCTTCTCAGGTGCGGCCCGCCATCCACTCATCCCGCCTGCTCCCCCCTCCCCCCCATCCTCCCATAGGGCCCACCCCTGACCGGCTCTTCCTCAGTCCCTGGCTGTCTTCTGTTCTCCCTCTGTGTGTGGTCTGTCCCTCTCCCTCTGTGCCAAGTCCCCTCTCGGTGGTTTGATGGGGGCACGGCCCTCCTTCTCTCCATCCTGAGTTCCCTTCCTCCTCTCGGGGGACATCGCAGACCCCTCGCCCTCCTTTCGCTCATCCATGCCAGCCTCAGTCTCCCTTCCCTCTGTCCCCCGTGCCCTGTCTTCCTCCGTCTTCGCCCACGTCTGGCCCCAGATCCCTGTCTCCTCTCTGACCCCTCCCCCTGTCACCCCTGCCTCCCACAGGTGACACAGGGGAGATCAAGTCAGAGGTCCGAGAGCAGATCAATGCCAAGGTGGCCGAGTGGCGCGAGGAGGGCAAGGCGGAGATCATCCCTGGGGTGGGTACCGGGCGTGGCACTGGGTGGGGGGCGTGGGAGAAGAGGGATGCGCGGCCCTGGGTGCGGGAGGTGACGCGCCCTGATGGCTCCCAGGTGCTGTTCATCGATGAGGTGCACATGCTGGACATCGAGAGCTTCTCCTTCCTCAACCGGGCGCTGGAGAGCGACATGGCGCCCGTCCTCATCATGGCCACCAACCGCGGCATCACCCGGTGAGCCGGCCTCGGGAAAGGCTGCCCCAGGCGGGGTGGCCACAGGGTCCAAGGGCATGCTCGTTTGCTCGTTGCACATCTTGGCGGGGGTGGGCTTAGCGGCTGTAACAGGCTCCCCCCAGGACCGCGGCCCAGGCGAGAGGGTGGACTTTTCCCTTAAGGTAGGGGTGGCCTGGCCGGCGTGGCTCAGTGGTTGAGTGTCAACCTAGGAACCAGGAGGTCAGGGTTCGATTCCTGGTCAGGGCACATGCCCGGGTTGCGGGCGTGATCCCCAGTGTGCATTTCTAGGAGGCAGCCAATCAATGATCCTTTCTCCCTCTCCCTTCCTCTCTGAAATGAATAAAAATATATTTAAATTCTTTTAAAAAAACAAGGTAAAAAAAAATAAAAAAACAAGGTAGGTCGTGGTCAGGGTGGGTAGGCAGCTCTGCTCCACCAGGAAGCCCGGGACGGGATTTTCTGTTGTGTTGCCCCTGTAACCCTTAAGGCTATAGTTTCCCAGTCTGTGTGCCAAGGCACCCCGGGGTAGTGCATAAAGCAGGAGTTCCGTGGGACAGCGTAGCTTTCTGCGGGAGGCACGGTAGCGTGTGTTGGACACGGGATCAAGCACGACAGTGAACTCACTCAGGCCCGACTACCTGATAAACGGAGCGGAACTGAGTGTTCCTGCGGCCGGAGGTACTGGGGGCTCCGGGGACGCTTGGGAGCCTCCGTCCGAGGGTGCCGCCAGCGCCCGGGCCCTGTTGTCCTCCGGGCTGGCTCTCTTCACCTCGTCTGTGGTTTGGCCCCGAGGAAGGGAGAAGGAAGTGGGGAGCAATAGCCCCCCGGAGGCTGGAGCCCGGAGGCTGCACCGCCCAGGGCGTGGCTGTGCCAGTGGCACGGGCGGCGGGGGAGTGTCGCCTCCAGCTGCAGCCGCGTGCCCGCTGACCTGGCCGGCAGGGCTGGTTATCACACGGGGAGGGAAGGGGCAGGGCTCCGGGCAGCGGCCAATTCTCCCCTGGCTCTGCCCCGGCACTTTTCCCAGACGAACTGCTGGGAACCTCAGAAGGAGCTCAAGATGTAGAGATTGTCTCAGTCCCACTTCCCAAGGGAGGACAGCAAGGCCCGGTGATGCCCAGGGGGCAGGGAGACTGGTCTCCGAGGGCTGAGGCCAGAAGAGGCAGCGAGAGCGTGTGCGGCGGGTGCAGCTCGGGGCGTGGGAACGGCGCCCCGGCTGCTCCTGGGAGGGGCGAGCAGCGGGGATCCAGCCGCTCCTGCTGTGGGCAGATTCGGGGTTCGCGAATCTGCTGCTGGAATGTATCTGTAGCCCCCAGATCGGTACTCGTGATGCTTTCTTGGTTGCGATCTATTTAGTGCCACCCTTGTCACATTCGGTGCTTGTTGATGGCGGCTTTGCTGTTTAAAACGGCCCCGGGTGTTCAGGAAGCAGGGGGCTGAGTCTCACAGAGGAAATGCATGTTAGGTGAACTTCATTATGGCCGTTACAGTGCCGTTAGCCATGAGGTCAATGGGAGGGAGTCTGTCATATATAGTAAGTAAGTTGTCTTCAAACAAAGCACATAGAGCCAGGCGATGTACTGGCTGGTTGGCAAATAGCGACCAGAGGCTCACAGGAACCTAACCGTGTGTCTCCCCAGGAGCCGGGGTTCGGTTTTGCTGATCGAGTGTTGGCCCCATTTTATAGAGCGTAGCTCTCACCAATAATGAGAACCTCCTGGCTTCCCTAGCGCCAGGCCCGGGGCTGGGCCAGGTGCCGCAGGGAACAGGACCCGTGCGGTCCCTTCCCTGGGTCACGCAGGGTAGGGGACCTTGGTCCAGTAATCCCGACGGCGCTGTCCAGCTAAAACAAGCCGGCTTTCCAGCGGGACTGACGCAGTCGGCTGGGCTGCGCAGCCAGGCGCTGACGCCAGCTGGGGCTGAAGGCCACGGGGTATTTGGCCCAGAGAGGGGGGTGGGTGGAGGGGGCGGTGGGAGGAGTCCCAGGAGAAGGAACGGAGAGCCGGGCTCCGGAGGCGTCACCCTGACGGCCCTCCTTTCCCCTCAGGATCCGGGGTACCAGCTACCAGAGCCCCCACGGCATCCCCATCGACCTGCTGGACCGGCTGCTCATTGTCTCCACCTCCCCCTACAGCGAGAAGGACACGAAGCAGATCCTCCGCATCCGGTGCGGGCAGGCTGGGGTCCGCCCTGATGGGCACGCGGGGACACTGGGCTCTGGGGGGTAGTGACTGGCCCAAAGTCTCTGGGCCTGAAAGAGGTAGAGCGCGGCCTCCGATGCAAGGTGGGGGCCCCTGTGGGGAGGGGAGGGGCGGGGCTGGTCACTGAGGGGGAGGAAAGAGCCTGTAAGGGGAGGGCCGAGGCCCAGCCGGTGCCTCAGTGGCCCTTGCCCAGCGTTCTGCAGTTCTGAAGTCGCAGGCTCCACATGTTCTGGGGTGGGGGCGGGGGGTGGGGGGGCTGGGGGATGCTGCAGTCACAGGCCTGACCTTGTCTGACCCCCACCTGCCTGCAGGTGTGAGGAGGAAGATGTGGAGATGAGCGAGGATGCCTACACGGTGCTGACCCGCATTGGCCTGGAGACCTCCCTGCGCTACGCCATCCAGCTCATCACCGCCGCCAGCCTGGTGTGCCGGAAACGCAAGGTCAGCCGGCTCGCGAGCCCTCGGGGCCGGGGCCAGTGTGTGACCCACTGCTCCAAGGGCTTGGGGTCGGTAGTTGCCTTTGGTCCTAGAACATAGGTCTTCGGAGGCAGGGACGTTGTGTCCTGGGTTTCCTTCTGCGCCTGCTGGCCAGACACACAGTAGGTCCTCAGTAAACGTCTGTTGACTGAGAGTTGATACTGTAAGTCCGTCTTACAGATGAAGGAACTGAGGCATGAGAGATGGGGCTCACAGCCAGGTGGCCGAGGCGGTATTTGAACCCGGACGATGTGGCCTGAGTCCCTCCCTAGGGAGGCCCCCTGAGTTCTCACTGTCCCCCCTCAGGGCACGGAGGTGCAGGTAGACGACATCAAGCGGGTCTACTCACTCTTCCTGGACGAGTCGCGCTCCACGCAGTACATGAAGGAGTACCAGGACGCCTTCCTCTTTAATGAACTCAGTGAGTGTCTCCCCTGCCCGCCCCCCCCCCCCCCCCCCCCGTCCCCAGTCCCCTGGGTGGCCTGTCTGGAGAGTTGGAGAGGTGGCCTGGCTTCTGGGCCCCAGTGACCACATGACCTTCTTCTCCTACAGAAGGCGAGACCATGGACACCTCCTGAGCTGATGCCCCCTCCCCCGCCTCCCTGTTTTCTACCAGAGTTCTGACACTGTGACTTTGTATAAAATGTTCTGAAACTGGACCCTTCGTGTGTGTGTTGTGTGCGCTCACGGGCATGCGCACCCCGAGCCCAAAGAAAGGCAGCCCCAGGGCGCGGTGTGAAAAGCCTTTATTGGAGGAGAGGAGCAGCTGCTGGCTCCGGGGGTGGCGGTGGGGATGGGCATGGGAGGGTGAGGTTGGGGGGGATCCTTAGAGGAAGAGGAGGTCTGGGAAGGGGGGGCGGTCACAGGCCAAGGGTTGGGCTCTGGGACCCCCACAGTCGGAGCTGCTGAGGCGGCAGGGCCCACAGCGACAGCTGAGGGCCACAGGGAAGGACACCATCGGGTCCACACCAGGCGGGCAGCCGGGGAGCCGGATGGAGGCAAAGCTCAGCTCACGGTAGGTGCACACCGGCTGGGGCACAGGCGGCAGAGGGGCTGGCAGCACCCGCACCTGGAGGCAGCGCAGAGAGGGAGTGGCGTTGGCGTCTGCCCAGGGCCAAGCCCTCCCCTGACCTCCCCTCTGCCCCCCACAAGCCCAAGCCTCGGGTAGCGAGGGGACCCTCTGTACTCTCCCACATGCCCAGCTCTGACTCCAACTCCCCAGCCCCTACCCAGGGGGGGCGGCCGCCCTCCCGCCCTCTGCCCCATGCCTTCTGTGGGCCAGGCCTGAGCGGTCCCCCTGGCACTCAGGTGGCAGCACCGTCCTCAGGCCGGCAGCTCACCATGCTGGGGCAGTAGCCGGCGCAGATGCTGGTGGTGAAGGTGATGCAGACCGGACAGGCCTCGTTCTCGGCAGCCAGCGTGGCATTGACGGGCCGGCACAGTGGCCGCAGTGGCCCCCTGGATGCCCGCACCCCACTCACGCTCAGCAGCAGCCACAGCAGCAGCCCCTGGGACAAGGCCATTTCCTCAGGGCCAGCGCCAGACCTCTGCCCGGGCCCCTACCCTTCTGTTCCCCGCTTACACACACTCAGGGCCAGCCCCTCCACTCTGATCCCCCACCCCGATACCCAGGGACCCCGGGACCCACCCTCAAGACCCCACCCCACTGCTGCCAGCAGGAAGCCCGCTGGCTGTCCACACCTTCTAGAAAGAGGCTGCCTTCACCCAGTCCCAGACTCCCAGTCTTACCTGGAGCATCTCCATCCTGGGTGCCTCCCTACTGTGTTTACCTGGTTTTATACCTGTAGGCTGTGGGGGCGGCAAGGCCAGGGGGTGGTGGCATGGCGGGGTAACCTGGACACTAATCTCCTCGGGGGCGAGAGGCGGATAAGGTCAGGGATGTGCAGGAGCGGCGAAGGGAGCACCCCCTCCCCCCATTCCCTGCGTGGCTTGGCACCAAGAAGCAGGGGACACCCAAGATGACGGCTGACTACAGACTCGATCCTTAGGCGCTAGAGAGGTCGTGCGGGGGCAGGGAAAGGGGTAGGGAGCCGCTGGCTGTGCTGGCAGGTTGGGGAGCCCTGTCTGCCCATCACGGGGGAGCCGGGGGAGGGGTCCGATCCTGCCATGGTGATGGACGGAGCCTCAGCCCTGCTCCACCTGCCATGGCCTGAAAGCCAGAATCCAAACTCAGGCGGGGCTTGGCTCCGTGTTGCCTCTGCGCTCCCAGACACCCCGCCACAAGGACTCAGTGGGAGCGCCTTCTCCCCACACTCGGGCCCCCAGAAACCAGGATGCCAGAGCCCAACCCAGCAAAGAGCAACGTGTAGACTATTTCACGGTCATTGATAAGAGAAGCTCTGCCCCTTCTGCCGCAGGGGCACGCCCCGCCCGCCGGCCCGCAGCCCCAAGTACATATTCCAGGCCCACTCCCGCCCCCACAGTCGGGTAGGTGTCTGTGGGGTGCGCCCCTCCCGCTGCCTGACTCCGTCCTGCCCCCGCGTGGTGGGCGGGGTTCCCAAGCTCAGCCCCGCCCACGGGGTGCCCAGGGGCCGGCTTCCAGGCTCCGCTCCGCCCCTGCTGGGGGGGGGGGGGGGGGGGGACGTGTCTGCGGCGGGGCTGGCGGGGCGCTCAGACCAGGGCGGGCTTGGAGCTGCCGTAGTTGGAGCTCTCGGTGCGGTAGGCTTGCGGCACGCGGTAGATGGCCGGCACGGGGTTCCGGTGCGGGACTCTCCAGGACAGCGCCCCCGGGTAGAAGCCGTCCAGCCGGCGGAGCGGGTGCAGCGGGAGGCTGTAGGACTCCTGCGCCAGCGACAGCGCCCCGCGGTGCGGCACCGCCGGCGGCACCGGGCGGGCGCGGGGCACACGGGGCACACGGATCCGCAGCGATGGGGGCACCCGACAGGAGGGTCGACAGGGCGGCTGCTGGGGGGCGTGGCCCCAGGGTAACAACTCCTTCCTGTTGCGGGAGGCAGGATGGGGACGAGCCTGAGGGTTCAGACCCGCCTCGGGTCCGAGGAGGCAGCAGGCCTGAGCTCCTGCGTTTGAGGAGAGGGCCTATTCGTAGGAGTCGGGGACCACTTAGAAAAAACGGGGTTGGGGACTGCTAGCCTGGATTCCTGGGTCCTCCAGGTACTTAAACGCCTGGAATCTGGGCTTTTCTCACCCTCGGGCAGTATCTGGAGACGCAAATGTCTAATTACCCCGCCCCAGATCGCCAGGGCCCGGCTCCTAGATCCCTCCGCAGGCTTCGTGCACCTGGGCGCCAGGGCCGGGGCTGAGATCTGCACGTCTGGTTCTAAGTCAGAGCAGGGGAGTCCATACCAGGGGTCTGGGCGGGCCAGCAGCCGGGGGGAGGGGGTGCAGGGGGCGGTGCCAGTGGAGGACTCGGGCTCACTTCGAGTAGGCTCGGAAGTCCCCGGCATAGGTGGGCAGGTAGAGCTGAAAGCGGTCCAGGATGCCCTGGTTGGACACTGTGAGAGGCCGGCCGGCCAGCTCCGGGCTCATCCTCCAGGGAATGAGAGTCTGGGGAGGAAGAGGCAGGAGGAATGACCGAGAAAGCGGTTTCATCTCCCTTTTGAAGCTTTGGTTCCCTGGCTGAGAACGCCTCTTCCTTCGGACTCAGCAGCTCCTCCGGACCAGAATCAGTCCTTCCCGGCCCATCGCATGCCAGCGCACGTTCGCTTCGCTCCCCAAACCAGAAACTCCAAGGCCCAATCGCTTTTTGCTCACCAGCCAACAGACAGGCAAGTCCCCAGACTCCAACCTTCCTTGTCCAGCCACTGGAATTTAGCCGCACCTGGGCCAACAATTCCTCCCAACATCAGCCTCTCGCAGAAGCCTAGCCCCGATTCCCGCCTCCCGCCTCCCGCCTCCCGCCAGGTCCCAGAATATTCAAGACCCGCCCCCTAGTGCAGTCCTTCCTGGCTCTGCCCCAAGCCTCAAAGCCACCTCCTACCGGAAGGGCGTGGCTCAGTGGTTGAGCATCCACCTGTGAACCAGGAGATCACGGTTCGATTCCCCCGTCAGGCCTGGTTTCGGGGTCGATTCCCCCCTCTGGGGGGCGTGCAGGAGGCAGCCAGTCAGTGATTCTCATCATTGATGTTTCTACTCTCTCTCTCCCTTCCTCTCTGAGATCAATAAAAACATATTTTTTTAAAACCCTCCTAACCCACGTCAACATTTATTAGTTGCGCCCCAGAGGTTATTAGCCCCAGAGAGCTGGGATTGCGGGTCTTCAGTCCCCTCCTCCTCCTGGCCCCACCTCAAACTGTCCAAGCCCCGCCGTAGCCAGTTTGGCTCAGTGGATAGAGTATCGGCCTGCAGACTGAAGGGTCCCAGGTTGGAGGGCATGGGCCTTGGTTGCGGGCACATCCCCAGGAGGGGGTGTGAAGGAGGCAGCTGATCGATTTTTTTCTCTCATTGATGTTTCTAACTCTCTATCCCTCTCCCTTCCTCTCTGTAAAAAATCAATAAAATATATATATTTTTAAAGTTTTTTAGCCCTAGGTCCCAGGTTCAATTTTGGCCAAGGGCACATGCCTGGATTGCAGGCTTGATCCCAGCAGGGGGCATGCAGAAGGCAGCCGATCAATGATTCTCATTATTGATGTTTCTCTCTATCCCTCTCTCTTCCTCTCTGAAATCAATAAAAATATATTTTAAAAAAAGAAATATATTTTTTTAAAAGTTTTTTTTTAAAAAAAGTCCAAGCCCCTTCCCCAGTCTTTGCACTCTTCTCAGTCCTCCCCAAACTTTTAACCACGCCCCCAGACTTTTAGCCACGCCCTAGACCCTTTAACCACGCCCCAGACCCTTTAGCCACGCCCCCTACCTTTTAGTCACGCCCCCAAACTAAAAATTCCTACTGGCCCCGCCCCAGGCGCTCGCAGCTGGGTCCCCCACCCCCGCGCCCACGCTGTCTCCTCCGCTACCTGGGAAGCGCCGGTGAGGTGGTGGTCGGCGAACCGCAGGGGCCGGGCGCGCTGGTGCAGGTCGGGCCACGCGGAGTACTGCGCCCGCGCCTCGCTGCTCTGGTGCTTTGTGGTCAGGGGGAGGCACCAGCCGCGGCGCGAGAGCTGCAGGAAGACGTTTCGGGGACCCAACCTGAGGGTGGACGGGGCGGAATTGCAGTCCTCAGCCCTGTCCCCCGCGGACCTCGGCATCCTAGAACCTTACCTTTTCCCCAAAATCCTTCATCCCCACAGACCGCGCGAGGTCCTTCGGCTTTGGGACCTTGGGCTGCGCATAGGGCCCGCCGTGGGTCTTGAGCACCCGGTGAGCCGCGCCATAGGTGGTCTCCCATCTGCTGATGACCTCGTCGAAAGCCCAGATGTGCAGATCCCGCTTGGCGGCTGTGGCCAGGGGCTCCGCCACCGTGGACTGGGTAGAAGGCGCGGGACGTCCGCTTAAAAAAACCTCAGGAGTCCGGCCCGCCAGCCCTGATCGCTCCCGCGCGGTCCCCAGCCCTTTCCTCCCTCCAGTTCCAGGCATCCAGGTCCCCTGGGCCTTCATCTGTCAGACCCAGGGCTCCGCGCCCCTCCTCCTTCAGGTAGGAGTCCAGGCCACCGTTCCCCTTTTCTTTCCGTAGGCGTCTGGATCCCCGCGCCCCCTTCAGACGCAGGCGTCTGGACGCCCAGGCTGCTCTCACCTGGAGAGTGGGCGGGCGAAAGGGCACGGATGGGATGATGTGGTGGGCGACACCACTGCTGGTGAGATGCCAGTCGGGCCAGGATCCTGGATCCTCGGTCCCAGAGATGGGGGGCCAGGGAGGGCCATAGCGCAGAGCGAGGGTCCGACCCGCCATGATCCCTGCCCCCCGCCTTTTAGCCAAGCCGGAGGCTTGTTGTGGCTGTTGCCATAGTAACAGAACCCTCCCTCGCTGAATCCAGCCAATGGAAGGCCTGCAGGCTGTGGATGGGGAGAGTGAAAAAGAGGTCCGGGCATAGAGGGGCATGGACTTTGACAGAGGGGGGCAGAGGCCCCAAGTGGGGCACCGAACCTCAGAGACTTTGGGGGGCGGGGAAGACCCAGACAGACAGGAGGGCAGAAATGGGGCACCGAGGAAGGTGAACTAGAAATTCAATTTTAGAGTTTGAGAGACAGAGACCCCTGGGCAGGGGGAGACAGAAACTCAGAGAGGGGGGACAGAAATCTGGGGGGGGGGTCAGAGATCCAGGAAGGGGGTACAGAGACCAGCGGGGCGGGGGGGGGAGGGGGGAGGATAGACTACCCAGCACATCAGGAAACCCATGGGAAACACCCCCATTCCTATAGGGATCCAGCCTGCTGACTGCCTGCTCCCTCGGCCAGGCCTGTCCACCTCGGGGGCGGGACCATTGACGCCGGGCTGTCCTTCCTTCCCTGTGTGTGCGGAGTCAGCATCTGTCCTATTGCCTTTGATTCGACTGAAAACTTCCACCTGGGGATGGGGGGTGGGCAGAGGGAGGGACCCACAGAGAAGCGCACAGGAATAGACTTCACCAAACGGGGGGGGGGGGGGGGGGGCGGGGAGGAGTGGTGCAGAAAGGGCTTTGATGAATGAGAAAGACACGCGAGAATGGGCGAGAGACGGTGACTAAGAAACAGAGGCAGAAAGAGAGCTAGTGACGCAGAGACAGGAGGTGGAAGTTAGGAGAAGAGACAGGGACGTGGCAAGAAAGAGTAGAAGGGCAGGCGGGGAACAGAGATGTAGCCACCGAGGCAGCCAGACCCTGCCCTGCCCTGCCGCCCATCCTTCCCAGGGACCCAGTCTGTGATGGGGGCGGGGGTGGGGGTGAGGGTTTCTATGTCCTTAGCCGAAAGCTGGCCCTAAAATAGTCTGTGAGTTGGTAGCGGGTGTGGAGTGGTAATTCATGAAGCGGTGTCCTGAGGATGTGGGGTCTGCCCGACTTCCTTGTCACTGCCTCACTTTAATCCTCACCTGAGGATATTTTTTTCCCCCATTGATTTTCAGAGAGAGAGGGAAAGACAGAGAGAAACACGGATGTGAGAGAAACACATTGATGGGTTGCCTCCTGCATGAGTCATGACCACCGCCAGGGCTGGGGAGGAGCCTGCAATCTAGGTACATGCCCTTAGCCAGAATCGAACCCAGGACCCTTCGGTCCGCAGGCTGATGCTCTATCCCAGGGGTCCTCAAACTACAGCCCGCGGGTCACATGCGTCCCGCCGAAAACATTTGTTTTTTTATTTCAAAATAAGATATGTGCAGTGTGCATAGGAATTTGTTCATAGTTTTGTTTTTTTTTTAACTATAGTCCGGCCCTCCAACAGTCTGAGGGACAGTGAACTGGCCCCCTGTTTAAAAAGTTTGAGGACCCCTGCTCTATCCACTGAGCCAAAGCGGCTAGGGCGTCAGGGCCTCCCTTTAAAGACCTTTTGGTCAAGGCCTTTGTCTCCTCAGCCCCCACTGACTCATCCCACCAACCCATTCTACAGGCAGGGAAAACTGACGCTGCCTTCAGAGCCTCTCATTCAGGCTTCTAGGGTCCCTTCTCCTGTTGGACTCGCCGGGCCCACTCAAGGCCTATCCGTGCCCACATGGCCCCTGATCCTCCACAGCGGTCAGGCCAATTGTCAGAACCCCGCGCCTTCCTCAGACTGGACAGTTTTAGAGTTTCTTTCTTGCTCGGGGCGGAATAAAAGTTGAGACAGGGAAGGGTGGTAGACATCTGACTCCAACTCCCCACCAGGGCTGAATTCTCTCGCATCCTGACCTCCCATCATTCATCCTTACTTGTGTTCCGACTGTGACGGGTAGGTCAAAACAGAGCATTCTTGCCCTAGCCAGCTTAGCTCAGTGGCTAGAGCATTGGCCCATGGACTGAAGGGTCCCGGGTTCGATTCTGGCCAAGGCATGTGCCTCACTTGCAGGCTCAATCCCCATGCGGGAAGCAACCAATCTGTGTGTGTCTCACATCCATGTTTCTCTGTGTCTCTCCCTCTCCACCCTTTCTCTGAAAATCATGGGAAAATATCCTCGAGTGAGGATTCACAAAAAACAAACAAAACACAAAGCATTCTTGCCCCATCTGACCTAGTAAACTGCCCATTCGAGTCCTCGCTCCCTGTTAGTTGCTTACATGTTCCAGTTTTTATGCTCCGCCACCCACTGCTGGATATATTTCCTCCTTGTCACTCTCCCCATAATGAGCAAGGTGAGGTCCTCTGAGATCATATAGCAGCAACTTAGAAGCTAAAGGCCTCCCTCCAATGTTCAAATCCACCAGAGTTGATCTGACAAGTTGTGTATTAGAGGTCTTAAACAGTAGGCACTCGGAAAATATAGGCTATCATCATCATCATCCACCCTGGAGTTCGCAGGAGAACTCCTATTCATCCTTCAAAACCCCACCCGGTTTTACCACCTGTCTTGTACAGATTGAGCTGACTTTGCGACGACTTAACAAGTTCCCACCATGAGGCCCAGAGCAGCCCCTGAGGTCCCTCAGCATCCAGCTCTCTTCTTCCTCTGCTTGCCCAGTTCCTGCGCAGAGGCCTCAGGCGCGCCCGGTCCGGCTGAGGAGTGTGCAGACGCAGGCAGTGTCGATTCGAATCCATCGCCAGCCCACACGGCCCTGAGCGTCAGTGGTCAATGCCCGCACGTAGGACTGCTTGGCCTTACACTCGGACACCCAGTGCCTCCGGTCCACGCCCCGGCAGCCCCCTCCGCCTGCACCAGGGCCATCTTCCCCAGTGTTGTCAGCCTTGCAGCGGGTCTCAAAGAAGTACTGGCGAAGCGGACTGCCGCCCGCTGCGGGCACCTCGCCCAGAACCTCTACCTCCCGCCCACGCAAGTCCACAGCTGTCCGCCGGTCCGTCACCCAGCTGCTCACTGCGTCGCACACAGCCAGCTCTCCCCGGCGACTTGCTGGTGCTGTCTCGCTCACTCCTCGCCGGCTGCGGTTAGCCGGGCTGCCGGGTGGCTCCCCGAAGGCCCCAGTCTCCAGGAGGAAGAGCAGCGGGGGGCCTGCGGGGGCACCTCTGGAGAGCACCACTCGTGGGGACAGGAGGTCCCACTCAGGGGCTGGAAATGGGGGCAGCGGAGAGGGTGGGGGATGGGGTTCCACTGGGACACTGGGGAGGAGGCAAAGGAGGAGGATGGGGAGGGACCATGAAGGGTGAGGCAGCATCTCGCTGAGCACCTGAGGATGGAGAAGAAAGCTGGATTTAGAGAAGAGGGTCATAATTTAGGGGGGACCTGCAAGCCAGAACCATAGGGAGGCCCTTGTTCTAGAACCTTGGGGAACCTATATTCTAGGATTGCATAATGCCCAATTTCCAGATGATCTGACTACAGTGGGGCCTTGATTTACGAGTTTAATTCGTTCCGTGACGGAGCTCGTAACTCAAATTACTCGTATGTCAAATCAAAAAGTGAACGAGTGAGACAGGTGATGCTGGGCTGATGTTGTGGCGTTCACTGTGACGTTCGCTGCGCCAGCTAGCGGTGGGGTATCTGAAGCTGTCTCGTAACCCGAATTTTAGCTCGCAACTCAAAGCAAAAAATCAGCTAAGAGACGGCTTGTATCTCAAAAAACTCGTTAGTCGGGACACTCGTAAGTCAAGGCCCCACTGTACTATCTCTCTCTATATAAAAGCTTAAGCAACCCTTCCACCATTTGACCAGTAGCTATGATGTGCACTGACCACCAGGGGGCAGACATTCGATGCACAGGCATGGAAACATGGAACAGACTGATGAATCTCAGAGGGAAGGGGGGAGGGGGAGGGCGGGAAGAGATTAACCAAAGATCTTATATGCATACTAGAGGCCCGGTGCATGGATTTGTGCACCAGTGGGGTCCCTCCTCCCGGCCTGCGGGGATTGGGCTGTAACTGGCTCTCCCACATCCCCCAAGGGGTCCTGGATTGGGAGAGGGTGCAGGCCAGGCCGAGGGACCCCAATGATGCAAGAATCTGTGCACAGGGCCTCTAGTTACTAATAACAGCCAACAATTGGGGAAATACAGGCTCAGAGAGGTTAGTAACTTGTACCAGGTCACACAGCCAGCAAATGCCAGCGTTGGCACTGGAACCCTGTCTGAGGAACCCCACTCGGCCTCTACAACCCTAAGGAACCCTGCGCCCTGCAGCCTGGAGGAGGTTTGAGGTCCCAAACTTTGAGAAAGGCCAGTTCCGGAATCCTAGGGAGATGCAACTTGAGCTCGAAACGGCCCCTAAGAAGGCAAGAAAATCACCTGCCTCTCAGACGGGGCCTCAGTTTCCCTGTCTGTGAAACTGATCTGGGGCTGGGAGATGCAGGCCAAGGTGCGGATACTGCCTTTTCTGTACCACATTCTGGGAAAGGGTGAGGTGGAGAGGACAGGGGTGGTTACCAGACCTGTCAGCACCTCCTCCGCCTCCGAGCTCCCGGGCTGGGGGCCCCCAGGCTCCAGGGGGCCCCTGTGGGGGACGCGGGCGGCCCCCTCCTTCCTGACATCTCAGGAGAGGAAGGGGGCGACCACCTAGAGGAAGAGGAGAACAGGCATGTCATCTAGGCAGGTGGGGGAGGGGGCCCGAACCCGCGTTCCTCTCCAAGTGTGGGGTACCCAGCAGCCAAGGCCACGCCCCCTTTCAGAGCCCCCCCCCCCTCCGCTCCCCCCTCCCGCCCTGCCCAGGTGATGGCTCCTGGCTGGAATGGGAAGCAGATGGGAGGAGGAGAGGGGACCGCGGAGGCTGGAAAAGATTACGTCCTCCTCGGCCCATTCATCTCCCAGACAGGCTGGGGGTGGGGCCGGGCTGGACACCCGGGGACCCGGGGGCCCACCCTCCAGAAGCCCTGGGTCCCCGAGGCTGCTTCCTGGAATGTTTTCCCCGCACGGGACAGGCCGGGGCCCGCCCAAGCCTTCCGCTGCGCATACCTGGAGCGGCTGCCTGCCCCGGCTGCGAGATGCCCAATGGGGAGCTGGGGTGCGCAGGGGGGCGCATGCTGACCCAGCCAGGACCGAGAGGCCAGACCCCCCAAGTCCCTCCTCCCTCGGACCCTGAAGTTCTGGAGTTCCAGGCCCCGCCTCCCAGGTCCTCAGCAAGACGGGCGCCCCGAAGATTCAGGCTGGGGGTCCGGAGCCCGGGGACCCCTCTGGGGGCGGCTCCACCGGGGGTAACCTCGCGGCTCATCGGGGACTTCGCTCTTGCCTCAGTTTCCTCCGCCAAGCCCCGCCCCAGGCCCCGCCCACGTCCCTCCCTACCCGGGGGCAGGGCGACCGGGACGCGGGATCCCGAAGGAGGAGGCGCGGAGGCTGTTACCTGGGCGCCCGCCGCGGCTCCCTCGGCGGCCCCGGCGCGGCGGCTCCTGCTGCTGCTGCTGCTGCTCGCTGGCGGCGGGGACGCCCGCTCACCCGCCGGCTCCTCGCTGCACACGCTCCGGAGGGCCCGGGTCGGGGGCGGAGGCGGGGCGGCGCCCGACGGCGGAGGAGGGGCCGGGGGATCCCGCCTTCCACTCGCGGGCCGGGACCTCGGGAGCCCAGCCTGGCTCGCTCAGCCCTCCACCCGCCTCAGGCCCAGGAGGCCAGGCGCCAGCCCCCTCCTCCCTCAGACCCTGGGGTCCGGGCCCCCAGCCCCTCCTCCCTCAGACCCTGGGGTCCGGGATCCCAGCCCCCTCCTCCCTCAGTCCCTGGGGTCCGGGATCTCAGACCCTGGAGTCCGGGCCCCCAGCCCCTCCTCCCTCAGACCAGGAGTCTGGACCCCCAGCCCCTGGACTCTCAGACACTGGAATCCGGGATCCCCAACCCCCTCCTCCCTCAGACCCTGGAGTCCAGACCCCCAGGCCCTCCACTCTCAGACCCTGGAATCCGGGATCCCCAATCCCCTCCTCCCTCAGACTCTGGAGTCCAGGCCCCCAGCCCCTCCACTCTCCGACCAGGAGCCTGGACCCCCAGCCCCTCCTCTCTCAGACCCTGGAGTCCGGGCTCCCCAGCCCCTCCTCCCTCAGACCAAAGTCTGGACCCCCAGCCCCTTCTTCCCCTAGTTTCAGCCCCCTCCTCCCCCCTCAGACCCAGGAGTGGGGACCCCCAGCCCCCTCCTCCCGCAGACCAGGAGTCTGGGCCCTAGATTCCTCTGCATTCTTTAGCCAGTTAAGTGTCAATCCCCAGGCAGATTCCCACCCTCTGCTCTCATCCCCACGCTCCCAGGAGCTCCAGGCCAGACATTAACCAGCTGGGCTTGGGCAGCGATAAGGCCCCCCGGCCCGGGGGGGACAGTGGATGTGGGGGGGCTCTCCCACAGAGTCCTCTCGCCTGGAATTTCCTGGGTGGGGACTGGGGAGAGGGTCTTGTCCTGAGCTCAGAGAAGAGAAATTCAAGGTGTTACAGGCCCGGGAGATAGATTTGATTTGGGAACAAAATGACCTTAGAGAAGGAAAGTGGAGGGAGACGGGGGAAAGGCACGGAACAGGGGCCAGAGTCCAAGAGAAAGAGAGGGGACAGAGACCCAGAGAGAGAGGGAGAGAGACCCTGAGACGGGGGAGATGGGCGTTGGAGTCCAGGACAGCCCTGTGGCCAGGCCTTCACGCCTCCCCAGAGTTGTTTTCAGGGGAAAGCTGACACTTGTCTTGGGGGGGTGGGGAGGGATCCCATACCCCTCCCTTGGCCTAAATATAGCATGGCAAGGTGGCAGGAGGGGTGTCCCCCGACTAGGGTGTCCCCTCTCCTCTTGCCCATCACAGCCAAGGCGACACAGAAGGCGGCCGCAGTTGTTTATTGGGGTGGGGGAGGGGCGCTTCCCAGGCTTTGGGTGTCCACTGGAGTCACCTCCCTGACTCACCACACTCTTCCCCATCCCTGAGCACCCAGCCTATGCCAGGCCTATCCCAGGGCCTCCAGGTAACTCCCGGTCTGGGGTTGGGGAGCACATGGGGGCAACAGAAGAACTAGCAGAGGAGGAACTGGGCAAAAGCCTCTGTCCCCCCCTCTGTCTGTGTCTCTGTCCCCCCCCCCCTCGCTCCTGTCCCCCTCTCTGGATCTGTCCCCCTCGCTCTGGGTCTCTGTCCTCCCCCTGGTCTCTGACCCCCCTCCCAGGCCACCGCCTTCCTCCGCCAGCTCCCGTTCCTCCCTGTGGGTGTCACTCTTTGCCTCCGTCTCTGCCCCCTCTGCAGGTCTCTGCTCCTCTCTGCCTGTGTCTCCTTCCTCCCGGGTCTCTGTGCTGGAGTCTGTGCCTGCCTCCAAGACTCTGCCTCGTGTCTGTCACCATGAGGGGGTCTGTCTCCGTTTCCGCCTCCAGATGTGCCTTTCTCGCCATTTCAGAGAGAAGTGACAACCTAAAGGTTATATTATTTCCGACCTTTATCAGACTCTCCCCACAATCTGTACCTTCTTCCATCTCTCTGTATAAAATGGTAGGTGGGTCGCCCTAGCTGGTTTGGCTCAGTGGATAGAGCCTCGGCCCCGGGCCGTGGACGGAAGGGTCTCAGGTTCGATTCCGGTCAAGGGCACATGACTGGGCTGCCGGCTCGATCCCCAGTGGGGGGCGTGCAGGAGGCAGCCGATCAATGATTCTCTCATCATTGATGTTTCTATCTCTCTCTTCTCCCTTCCTCTCTGAAATCAATAAAAATTTATTTTCTTAAAAAAAGAGGTGTCTTCCCCTCAAACCAGTTCCCTTCTGATGCATCACCCTGTTGCCTCTAAGTAAGGTTTCATTTGACAAAAAAAGGGGGGGGTGTTGTAGCTAAACAGAACAATGACAACAACAACACTCTGCAAACCACTGGATGGGTTTTAATAAATTAATATGGGTAAAGTACTTTGAATGACACCTGGCGCATAGGAAGCCCTATTTGTGTTAGTGATTTAACCCTCCTCCTCCTCCTCCTCCTCCTCTTCCTCCTCCATCTCAAAATGCCCTTTAAGACGGAAAGATCTCTAAACATGTTCGGCCTCGTGACCTTGGGCAACACCCTCCCCTTTGAGCCTCAGTTTCCTTGTTCGTGAGGCTGTTTGGGCTCAGGAGGTCCTGTGCGTCCCAGCAGGCTGACAGGACACGTGGGGCCAGGCCGCCTGCCACCGGGCTGGCCCCAGGGACAGTGACGGGGGCCTGACCTTGGGAAGCTCTCCCGCGCTGAGACTGGCCTCTCCCTGCTTCCTGCTTTGTCTGACGGCCTTCCTGGGCTGCGGGAAGATGGGGTGGTGCGCCCCGATGGGGGATTCCCATCTCTGTCAGGCTCAGGGGCACCACTGCCTGTTCCCTCTTTGGTTCTCTGTCTCTGGGGTGCTCCGGTCTGCCTCCAGCTCTGGGTGTCTGTCCCTCTCTCTCTGGGCGCCTGACACCCTGCTGCGGGTCTCCATCCCCCATTCTTGGCCGCTGTCTCCCTCTCCTTTGGGTTGTGTCCCTCCCCCTTCCTCTGGGTCTGTCTCTGAGTCTCTATTCCTCTCTCTTTGTGTCCTCATCTCCTCTTCTCTGGGATTCTCTTTTCTGAGCCTCCATCCTTCCCCAGGTCTCTGTCCCCCCTTCCTCTGGGTTCCTGTCCCCCCACCATGTATGGACAGAGTACAGGAACCCCCCTCCCTCCCTCCCCTTGTGGTTCTGATGTCCATGTCTGGAAGCAGAACTGTAGGCGAAGACAGATAGTAAGGGGGTTTCAACGGCAAAATGAAGCAGGAGTGGGGTGAATGGAGGGAGTGTCCAGTTCAGTTGTCTCCCAGAGTCCACAGCGCCATAGTCGCTCCCTGAGGCGTGATTCCTCCTCAGTGCTGGCATCCTTGGGTGCCGGTGCTACCACTGAATCCCAAACAAACCCACATGGCCCCATGGAGTTCATACACACAGTCCGGCTCAACCCAGCCCTCCCACCAGACTCACAGTGACGCAGTCAATGTAACTCAGCTCAGCATGGCCCCACGACCTGGTCCTACGAGACCCACCTGATTATACAGCTCAGTGTGGCTCAACTCCGTGGAGCCCTGAACACTTCCAGCCACATAACTCTACACGATTCAACCCAACAGAACCCGGAGAGACTCCTACAGTCGTACGTTCCAACCCGACTTAACCTAACATGACCTAGAAAGCTCACATTCTATCACTTGACTCTCCTACATGACTCACAAGTTCACAGAACCGAAAATAACATAGCCCCAGAAGAATCACAAAGCCACACAATTTCCAACACGTCTCAACCCCACACCACCATGCATGGACGCGCAACCAGTCCCAACAATGCCATGGGTGGGCACATATCTTGATCCAACATGGCCTTAGGGGGGGCTCATAAACCCACAGAATCCCGCACAATGCGTTTGGACAAGACTCACCCAGACTCACAACCCAACCCAACCCAACCCAACCCAACCCAACACAGAACAAAGAAACTCACAAAACGCTGTGGCCTCACAAATCTATCTCAACACTAGCCCGAGAGGCTCCACAGCCTCGCAGGAACCAGCGCAGTACAAACCAATGCAGCGCCCCCCTCAGCTCAGCGTAACCCACTCCCGTTCACGGCCGCCTAAGGAGGTACCTACAGCAGTACCAAACCGCAACTCAAGAACCCATAAGGCTTAGGGTTCTTCAACGCATTACCATTTAACCTAGTTCTTCCTAGTCCCAACCCCTCCCCATGACTGCCCCTCCCCCCTCCCCTCCCTCCCTCTGAGGAAATGTGAGGTCCTGCAGGCTTCAACTGTCCCTCACACTTCGGTGACCATGTGTTTCCCAGGGGGGGGCCAGAGTGGGGGTGACAGCTCAGGCACCTCTCCATCCACCAATCCCCCATTGACCTTGCCCTCCAGGGGGCCACAGGGCTGCGTGTCCACATGGCTGTACATTCCGGCCTCTTCGCCCTCTGTCTCCCGGTGGTAAAAGTAGCTGAAGTTGGAGACAATGACTGGCACAGGCAGGGAGATGGTCAGCACCCCCGCGATGGCGCACAGGGAGCCCACGATCTTGCCACCCACCGTGACGGGGGCCATGTCTCCATAGCCGACTGTCGTCATGGTGACCACTGCCCACCAGAAGGACTCAGGGATGCTGGTGAAATGGGAGTCTTCCCGGTCGACCTCGGCAAAGTAGACCGCGCTGGAGAAGAGGACCACGCCGATGAAGAGGAAGAAGATGAGGAGGCCCAGCTCGCGCATGGACGCCCGGAGCGTCTGGCCCAGGATCTGCAGGCCCTTCGAGTGCCGAGACAACTTGAAGATGCGGAAGACGCGCACCAGTCGGATGACCCGCAGGATGGCTAAGGACATGGCCGGCTGGCCCACCCCCCGCTGCCGGGCCAGCTCGGTGCCCAGCGCCACAAAGTAGGGCAGGATGGCCACAAAATCAATGAGGTTCATCACGTTCTTGAAGAAGGCCGTCTTGCTCGGGCAGGCCAGCAGGCGCACCAGCAGCTCGAAGGAGAACCAGCAGATGCACAGCGTCTCCACCACGAAGAACGGGTCATCGAAGGGTGTGCGGGGTGGGGGTCCGGGCACAGGGCTGGAGCCGTTCAGGCGAGAGGGGAACTGCAAGGAGGAAGGGGTTCAGGGAGGACCGCGCCAGGGCTGGGACTCACTGGAATGGCCATATTCGTTGTTTGTTTAAATACCCAACTACTTATCTACAAATCGGTCAACAGCCGCTGCTCCCGGGCCAGCAGTGAACCTGGCTGTCATAGACTCTCCCAGGACCCCACAGGGTCATGCCTGCCCGGCTGCCTCTATGGCCCCTCATCCACTGCTGGGGCCTCCTGAAATGACTCGTGGCCGGGGCTCAACCTCTTCCCGTCCAAAGCCGGCCCCCAGCATGAATTCTCTAGCCAGGGAGGGTCCCTAAGCTGGCCCCACTCCCTTGGACCCTGCCCTCCCAAACCCAGCCCAGGCTATAATGGTCAAAGACCTCTCTGTCTGCCAAACCCTGGGCCCCTATTCTTACAGCTCCCGGCTTTGCTTTGTCTGTGATGGATTCCTCCTACCCTGGCCCTCAGGACCCTCCACGCTCTCTCCAGCTACTTGCTCTTTCTTCTTTCTTTCTTCCTTCCTTCCTTCCTTCCTTCCTTCCTTCCTTCCTTCCTTCCTTCCTTCCTTCCTTCCTTCCTTCCTTCCTTCCTTCCTTCCTTTCTCTCTCTCTCTCTGTCTCTCTTCCCTTCCTTCCTTCCTTCCTTCCTTCCTTCCTTCCTTCCTTCCTTCCTTCCTTCCTTCCTTTTTGGTTTGTTAATCCTCACCAAAGGTTTGTGCCCTTGACTGGGAATCAGAAACGAACCCATGACCCTTCCGTCCGAAGGCCACGCTCTAACCACTGAGCCGACGGGCCAGGGCCTCAGCTGCTTTCTTCAGGTCCGACTCTCACCACCTCCAGTCCATCCTTCCCATCGGTTACCATGAGCCGCACAGACCCCAGATTTTTCAGGCTCTCCCCTGCTCCCAGCTTTGACTTCTTAATGTACCTGTACTCAGGTACTCCTGCCCTCCTCCGCAAGCCAGGTTTCTCACCTGCCTTAACCCTGCCTTCTGATAGGACGGGCCCTCCTATTCCGATCCTCAGGCCCCACCCCTACTGAGCACCCCTGCGCCCCTAGCTTTTCACGGTGGAGTCCCCTGACAGGCCTGTCCCTGGGCTGCTCTGTTCCTTAAAGCCCCTGGTCCCACCTGAACTTGGCCAGGTCCTCCTACCAGACCCCCATGCCCCGCCCACCGACAGCCAGATCCCACCTTCCCGAGAGGCCCCGCCCCCACGGCCCCGCACCCGCTTTCTGATAGGCCAGGGACCCACGGACCCCGCCCCTCTCCGCCGAGGCCCAGCCCCCAAGGCCCCACACCCGCTTTCTGATAGGCCAGCGACCCATGCACCCCGCCCATCTCCCCCACAAACCCCGCCCCTCTGCACCGAGGCCCCGCCTCCTCACCGGTCCCGCCGCAGCCACCGCTGCAAGCCCCGGCCTGTCGCGTTCGTCGCGGAAATCGGGCAGCGTCTCGAGACAGAAGACGACGATGGAGACGAGAATGACCAGCACGGAGACGACGGCGAGCACGCGCGCGGCCTGCGAGCTCTCGGGGAACTCGAAGAGCAGCCAGAGCTGGCGCGCGAAGGCGCGGCGGGGCAGGGGCCGCTCGGGCGGCAGCGGGCAGCCCTCGTCCTCGCGCAGGCGCGCCAGCGCCGACGCGCCCAGCCCGTAGAAGGCCACCTCCTCCAGGAAGACGTCGAGCGGCACGTGCGCCGGCCGCCGCAGCCGCCCGCCCGACTGGTAGTAGTAGAGCACCGCGTCGAAGCTGGGCCGGTGCCGGTCGAAGAAGTATTCGCGGCGCGCGCCGTCGTAGAAGCGGCTGCGGCGCGCCGGGTCCCCGAGCAGCGTGTCCGGGAAGCGGCCCAGCGTGCGCGCCCGCGTCTCGAACCGCAGCCCCGCCACGTTGAGGACCAGCCGCTCGCAGCAGCCGCACGGCGGCGAGCACCGCGGCTCCATGGCGCGCGCAGCCCCAGTGACCCGCGGGCGGACGTGTGGCCCCGACGCCCGACCCGGCCCGGCCCCACCTCGGCCTCCGCCGCCGCCGCCGCCCCAGCCTGGTGTCCGATGTCCACGCGTAAAAATAGCCCAGCCCTTCGGCCAGGGCGCGGGGGAGGGGGCGCCGTGACCCCGGCGGGGCAGAGGGTACCCGCGCGCCCTCTGCCGGGGCACCCGCCCTTCCCCCCCAGCCACCGCCGAGCTGCGCTTTCTCCGCGTCTGTCCCGCGTTCTGATCCCCTTTCCATAGCCCGGGACCTCGGTTGGGGTCACAAATTTCCACCCCTTTCTCTCGTTCTCTTGTATACCTGCGTCTGGCCCTGCCTTTGATGCGGGTCTCTGAGGGATGTATGTCTGTGTGCCTTTATGGGGCAATTCTCTCTGAGTTTTGCCCCTCGCTCTGCGGGATTCTGTTTCTCTCATCTATGTTTTAGACTCTTTTTTTTTCTCGAGGGTCTGTCTCTGTTTCTCTGTTGTCTCCCTTGGCCTCCGTCGAGGTCTCTCTGCTTATCTTGCCGGGTCTCCTCTTCCATTATCTCTGTCCGTGCGTTTCTCGGGGGCGAACCCTTTGGCCTCTTTCCCTGCAGCGCTTCGCGTCTCTGTCTCGGGGCCCCTGGAGGACTCATCTGCGGAGTCACCTCTCGGAGTGTCTCTCTGACCATCACTCTTAGGTCACCTCCGCCACTGCCCCGGTGGTTGCCTGGCCCTGGGGGGACGCTCCAGCAGCTGCAAACCGTGGGCAGGTGCGCCCCTCGCCCGGTCCCCTCGGCAGGGTGTCTCCGGGGCTCTCCACCTGGCTTCTCTGCCAGATACGCGGAGACCCAGCGAGACCTGAGCTGTGCAGCCCTTCAGTGCCACGGGCGGGGGTGGGCTGGGGAGATGTCGCAGGGTCACTCCAAGGGACCGAAGGACAGACGGACGCTGGCCTTCCAGCCACGGGTGTCCTATGACATCGCATAAAAATAGCCCCATCAGTTGGGCTTTCGGGGACAGGGAGTGGTGGCTTGGCCACCTGGACACCTGCGAATGCGGTCTCCGGCGCCCTCTGCTGGGCGAGTGGAGCGACAGGGAAGGTTTTACTGCGAATTCCCGCACTCTCTCTCTTGCCGTCCACACTTTGTTCCTCTGTCACCGTCCCCCGGATTTCCGTGCCCTGCTCTCTGGGTCTCTCTGTCTTGGTCTCTCTCTTTCATGATCTTGGACCCTCCTTGTCTCTGGGTTTCTGTCCTTCCCACCCCCCCATCCCCCCATCCCCCTGGTCTTTTCCCTTCTCTCTGGTCTCTATCTCTTTTCTTCTCGGTCTTCTCTTTTTTTAAAAAAATATATTTTATTGATTTTTTACAGAGAGGAAGGGAGAGGGATAGAGAGTTAGAAATATCGATGAGAGAGAAATGTCGGTCAGCTGCCTTCTACACATCCCCTTCTGGGAGTGTGCCGGCAACCAAGGTACATGCCCTTGACTGGAATCAAACCCTGGACCCCTCAGTCCGCACACCCACGCTCTATCCACTGAGCCAAACCGGTTAGGGCTCAGTCTCCTCTTTCCTGTCATTCTCCAGGACCTCAAAGAGACCCCTCTTGGTGGGTCTCAGCTTTCTGTGTGACCTGACCCCCACCTTCCCTCTGCGTCCTTGTCTCTTAGAACCTGCACCCACACTGAGCCTGAAGGTAGTGCTCCCCCTTGCCACTTCCAGACGCTTCTCCCTCCCTCAGCTCCTTTGAAGCTCAAGCTGTCCATGGACACCTCTGCCCAGCTTCCCTGATGAACTCCCCCTTCCCTTCTGGCCCCGCCCACTGTCATGGAAGATTTTGGACTTCATCATTCTTAGAAATGTCAATGTCCTCCTAGATCAGCGGTTCTCAACCTGTGGGTCGCGACCCCTTCGGGGGTCGAATGACCCTTTCACAGGGGTCGCCTAAGACCATCGGAAAACACACATATAATTACATATTGTTTTTGTGATGAATCACTATGCTTTAATTATGTTCAATTTGTAACAATGAAAATACATCCTGCACACCAGATATTTGCATTACGATTCATAACAGTAGCAACATTACAGTGATGAAGTAGCAACGAAAATAATTTTATGGTTGGGGGTCACCACAACATGAGGAGCTGTATTAAAGGGTCGCGGCATCAGGAAGGTTGAGAACCACTGTCCTAGATGATCCTCCTGGAACCTGGCCCTACTGGATTGTCTTTTCCCAAAAGGATCAGATTTCTCGTCCTACAAAGTAGTGCCGAGCCGTGCCACACCCTCACTGGAGGAGTCCGTGTCCCTGGCTTTTGGTCATTCGCTCAACCAACAGACTGTCTCATGGGAAGCCATGTGGTTTCCCAGGTTGGGATATAAAAGGCAACTTTCCATCCCACTGTTTCCTTAGAACACTTTTTTTATCTTTTAATATATTTTTTTATTGATCTCAGAGAGGATGGGAGAGGGAGAGAGATAGAAGCATCAATGATGAGAGAGAATCATGGATCAGCTGTCTCGTGCATGCCTCCTACTGGGAATTGAGCCCACAACCCAGGCATGTGCCCTTGACCAGAATCAAACCAGGGACCCTTCAGTCCACAGGGTGACCCTCTATCCACTGAGCCAAACCGGTTAGGATGGAACGCTCCTTTTTTTTTGTTAATCCTCACCTGAGGATATTTTTCCATTGATTTTTAAGAGAAAGTGGAAGGGAAGGGGGAGGAAGAAAGAGAAAGAGGTGTGAGAGAGACACATCGATTGGTTGCCTCAGGTATGCATGCCTTTGACCAGGAATCAAACCCGAGCCCTTTGATGCACGGCTGATGTTCTAACCACTGAGCTTCATGGACCAGGGCTCCTTGGGACACTCCTGCAGGCCAGATGGCGAGGCCCCTGTGAAGAGGACTTAGGCTACTGGCCCTTGGTCCTGGCTCAACTCAGCTGATGACCAGTACCAACCTGTCGCCATCTGAGTGAGTCACCTTGGAAGCGTATCTTGCCCCAGCCAGACTACCCCCACGGATGCTTCTTGAGCCAGATAAGCCTCTCCCCCAGCTCTGCCCAGCTTGAAGATTTGTGAGGTTGTAGAGTTCTTTTGGGGTTGGGGGGGGGGGGAAGGTGAGATACCACAGAGACAGAGTTTAGTTCTCATTACATCACTAGAGGCCTGGTGCATGAAATTCGTGAACAGATAGGGTCCCTAGGCCTGGCTGGCAATCAGGGCAGATCAGGTTCCCCACCTCCCTGCCTCTTCCTTCCCTGGCTCCCTCAGTGCCCTGCTACCATGCCACCGTTGGTCGCCTGCCATGTTCCGTGCCGCCCCCTGGTGGTCAGCGCATGTCATAGCTAGCGATTGAACTCCCGAGGGGACACTTTGCATATTGTCCATAGATAGATAGACAGACAGATAGGTAGATATAGATATTGGGTGCAAGTGGTTGATATGTCTTATCACAGGTGATTTCAGTTGGATCACTTGCTTCGAGTAGTGTCTGCTGGGTTTCTCCACTGTAAAGTTATTATTTTTTTCCCCTTGTAATTAAAGAATGTTGGAGAGAGCCATCTTTTTTTTTTTTTTTTTTGCCCAGTTAAGTTTATCAAGGCTTAATTTACATGCAGTAAAATGTAACCTTGAGAGGAGAACCAAGATGGCGGCATAGGTTAATGCCGGAGTTTGCTGCTTTGAACAACTACTTCAAAAGTGAATCCAAAAAACGGAAGGGACATCACCCAGAACCACAGGAACGCTGCCTGAGTGGAAGTCCTACAACTAGGAGGAAAGAGAAACGCATACGGACACTCAGAGGAGGCGCAGTGCTGAAGTCAAATTCTGAGGTGCGGAGTGCGAGAGCGGGCTGGCGGCGGAGGGCGCGGTTGGCGTTTTCAATCGGGAGGGAGTCGAAGACTCTGAGCTCCAGATACGGGCGAGTCTTTAGCGACCCAGACTCAAACGGGAGAAGCGGGACTGTCTGGCTTCGGTCAGAGCGAGTGCACCTTTCTCTCTGAGCTTTGCAGCGGGTGCTGGGACTCAGAGAGGCAGAGCCCCTGGGGACAGGACTGAGAGCCGCCATAACTGCTCTCTCCGGCCCACCCTGTTGATCCTGTGCGACCCGCCCCGCCCAAGCCCTGCACACAGGCATTTGCCGGATAGCCTCAGGCAAAGGCTAGATTAGCACCTCCCTAGAGGACAGAAGTTCTCTCACTGCTGACACAGCTGATTCTCATAGCCACTTGGCCTGGAGGTCAAACCCTCCCTGGAATTAGCTACAGCAATCAAGATTTAACTATAAGACTGCGAACAAAGACCACTAGGGGGTGCACCAAGGAAGCATAACAAAATGCGGAGACAAAGAAACAGGACAAAATTGTCAATGGAAGATATAGAGTTCAGAACCACACTTTTAAGGTCTCTCAAGAACTGTTTAGAAGCCGCCGATAAACTTAATGAGATCTACAAGAAAACTAATAAGACCCTCGATCTTATATTGGGGAACCAACTAGAAATAAAGCATACACGGACTGAAATAACGAATATTATACAGACTCCCGACAGCAGACCAGAGGAGCGCAAGAATCAAGTCAATGATTTGAAATGCGAGGAAGCAAAAAACACCCAACCGGAAAAGCAAAATGAAAAAAGAATCCAAAAATGCGAGGATACTGTAAGGAGCCTCTGGGACAGCTTCAAGCATACCAACATCAGAATTATAGGGGTGCCAGAAGATGAGAGAGAGCAAGATATTGAAAACCTATTTGAAGAAATAATGACAGAAAACTTCCCCCACCTGGTGAAAGAAATGGACTTACAGGTCCAAGAAGCGCGGAGAACCCCAAACAAAAGGAATCCAAAGAGGACCACACCAAGACACATCATAATTAAAATGCCAAGAGCAAAAGATAAAGAGAGAATCTTAAAAACAGCAAGAGAAAGAAACTCAGTTACCTACAAGGGAATACCCATACGACTGTCAGCTGATTTCTCAACAGAAACTTTGCAGGCCAGAAGGGAGTGGCAAGAAATATTAAAAGTGATGAATACCAAGAACCTACAACCAAGATTACTTTAT